TGGACAACTGAATTAAAAAATAAGTTAGACCTTGAAACTGAATTAGTTGCCTATGACGATCGATGACATTTCCCATATAAATTTACATATAAAATGGCAGCGATCTTCATTTCATAGCCATCGCTGACGCCATTTATTTTCGATCATACGGTAGTTATTTTTTTGTAAACACTGCCTCGTTAATCTAACGGAGACTAATTGTTAGCAGTGGTTTACTAATAAACAAATTTGCCTAACGGACAAAAAAATTCTTAACGTTTTGGGAAGTATATCTCTTCCTGTCGTCGGAAGCAAAAAAACACAAAGGACAAAGAAAAAAACTGTTTAGAATATCTAAACGCCACTATTCGAAAACACTTTAGTTTTTTTTAAACAGATAAAAACTGTTGATATTCTGTTAAAATGACATTATATCAAGCTAAACTTCAAAATTAACAATTACCTACTACCTAATAAAAATTACTTAATAAGGTAAAACCAAAAAGCTTCAAACTTTCTGTATGATTATTTTTAATTTGTTATTAATTTTTACGTATGTTATGTTCTTTAAAATCAAAGAAGCGATTGCCATACATTACCAACATCTACAGATACATGATCAATACATTTATTTTTATTAGATTATATTAAAAAGCCTTTTTTATTTTTCTTTTAAAGGCTGTCGCTTCTTTCATTATATTGTGAATCCCAAGGACTCATTTAAGGCTGAGTCGACCTAGGTGCCCAAACTATTTTTATTTTAATAAAAATAGTCGGCTGATGAAATGCCGGGTGTGGGATTCGAACCCACTACCTTCGGATTGGTAGACGAAAGCCTGTACCTCTACGCCACCGGGCACCTATGAATATTTTATTATTGTGTCAAATTTGCAATGCAATATTTAATCTTATACATGCTACATGCTTATATTTTCGTTTATATTATTTTTGTAAAACTGCTGATAGATTATATCTAATATCAACCTGTTCTGTGCCGTTGTATGAGTGATTCACGTTTTAAATTGCATATAAAACTTCTCTTTTCACTTGCCCTATGCAGTAAAAAGGACAAGCGCCGATGCGAATGATGCGATATACATATGTTGAAAAGAATGGCGAGACCTTGAACTCAAAGCTAAACAACTTTTTTAAACGAGTGCCTCGTTTGCGAATAATAAAATTTCGCTGATGCGAGCATCCGTCAAGAAAACATGGAAAGAATTGAATTGATAAAAGGGATAAAAAGTCTTTGCGTCATACGCTTCTTTCATGTTTCTGTAAACAGATGTTTCTATATTTAATCTCATGTAATGGTATTTCTGAAAGTAATGTAATATATGAAATTAAATATATTCTTTCTTGTGCGGAGATTATCTTTGATTTTCAAATTTGATACATTTCTTACTAATATCAATCTCATTGTTATATGAGATACCATATTTCATTGTTACTTTACTTTGCGCGTGTTTTTATGCTTGTTAGTTATGGTTTTAGTCGTAGATTTAGAAAATGTTTTGTCCTTGCAATATACATCTCACCACATTCAAGAGAAAGAGAAAGAGAAAGAGAAAGAGAAAGAGAAAGAGAAAGAGAAAGAGAAAGAGAAAGAGAAAGAGAAAGAGAAAGAGAAAGAGAAAGAGAAAGAGAAAGAGAAAGAGAAAGCATCTTTCTCTTTTCTTTGTTCGATATAATCTTTGCCTAAGATCAGTATAACACTATCAAATTTCCTTGTTAGATATAAGATATTTGATGAAAAATTTGACATTGTTAATCTATAGTCTGTCCAACGAGAAGATGCTCGACAGTGATAGATGTGTCTGTCATTTTAATTTCAAAGTAGTTTATTTTATTTTACAAAGAAATAAGTTGGTACAACTGGAACGTATAGCGATATATTTAAAATTTGATTGACAAGATGACAAGTGATTACTTCAAAATACTGTGAAAAAAACTGTATAAAACTGAAAAAATGTAATCGAGTTATTTTATTTAATAAAAACTGTATGTGTTAATACAAAACAAACAAGAACAAGACACTACATACCAAAAAAATATAAAAAAGAACTATTATTTACCTTCAAGCTTTATGAAACTACCCGCATTTATGATTATATTTATCAATATAACTTATGTACAAATACAAATTTGTAATATTCCACAGGTATAAATAAAACAACATGGGTAAATACAACAAACTATTTTATTAATAATAACACCTACCAAATTTTATACCTTAAAGGTTGATTAATTAACTTTAATCTTAATTTTTTTAAACCAGTACCTTTTGACATTATTTTTCTGCAGTACTAAAATCCATTATTTACCTATCGTGTGATGTCGATATTTTACAGCTACCCCGGTTTTTAGTATGTGTTTAGTTTGATCCTTCTACCATATACAAGATGCACTTATCTACGACGAAATGGTATACAAACTTTATCGATAGCAACTTCATTGGTGTATAAGACTTTCTGCCCTGGCAGCGAGTATTAACCATAAACTGTGCTCTGGGTCTACAGTTAATTTTCACTCGATTTTTCCTCCACTTGACTTCAAAAGACACAAAACACACGTAATAATACGAATCAAAATGCATCATATTCCAAAACGCAGGGTATTTAACAAAAGTTGACACAAAATTATAACCTATAATTTGGCAAGACTTTGACAAGCGTCAAAAATGACAAAAATCTAAAGGCGAGTTCATACGCATCGGCGTCCGTTTGTCTTTCATCGTTCCGTCAAACCAATAAAATTGAAATACGATCTGTCATTTTTTAAATAAACCAATAAAACTGGTTAAAAACAGGAAGACACGACGTATGACGGATTTATATTTAAACCCATCCATAGATAACTTAAAAATTATTAGAAACTTTTTTTAGTCAAATAAATAGATTGGTATGGGACGTCATCTGCTTTTCTTCTGTCATCGTCTGTCGAAATCTTACCTGAGAAAAAAAACAGAGTATATACTCTACACTAATACATAAAATCCTTAAGTGACTGACATACTGATTAATCACGATCCTGCTCAAACCACTCAACATAAGAAGCTCAATTTTGGCATACAGGTTGATTCTAGGGTGTAGAGGTTCGGTAAGAAGGGATTTTTCGAAATTCCAGTTCCAATAGGGTGAAACGACCCCTCAAATATTACAATATTTTTTATTTAAAAAACGGTCAAGTTTCCGAAAAAACGCTTAAACACGTATATTTTATTTTGTTTTTTTACATATTTTAAGATTTTTTAAAAATGTATACAGGGTATTTCGAAAAATCTGGTCATTGATTAATCACGATCCTGCTTAAAGCGCTTGACGTAAAAAGCTGATTTTTGGAAAACAGATTGACTTTAGGGTGTAGAGGTTAGATAAGAAGGGATTTTTCGAAACTCGAATTCTAAGGGGGTGAAACAATCCCTCAAATACTAAAATATTTTTTATTTAAAAACCGGTGAGTTTTTCAGAAAAACTCTTAAAGATTTTTTATAAATTTATACATGGTGTTTCATAAAATATGACCATTGAGTAATCACGATTCTGCTTAAACTGCTTGACGTTTAAAGCTGATTTTTGGCAAACGGATTAACTGTGGGGTGTAGAGGTTCGATAAGGAGGGGTTTCTTGAATCTCAAATTCCAAGAGTTAGGTAAAATAAGGAGTTGGTAATTTCTTAACCACGATTCTGCTTAAACTGCTTGACGTAAAAAGCTTATTTTTGGCAAACGGATTTTTCGAAAGTCAAATTCCAACGAGATGAAACTACCCCTCAAATAATCACCAATACCTAATTAACCAAACCAAACCAAGTTATATAATAATATCGCCATATTGTTTTTTCTCATGCTGGCATAAATGTGAAAAAATTTTATCCAGTTTGTATGTTAATGGAAATTCTTGATTTGCTTTATCATCACCATTACAAATGATTAATTCGACGCGAACGAAGTCATTGGTACACGCTAGTATACAATATTTTGTAAAATCACACATGTCTGACAAGAAAATTTGATAGTGTAATACTGGCCTAATACATATGATAACAAAACATTACTTACGTATATAAAATAGTACTATTATTTTTCATATACTATAGCATAATGCAGCTTAATATTTATTGAGTTAAAAATAAACATTGATTTGAAGTAGTAAATGGAGATATAAATAACTTAGCTGAGTGGAAATCTTTAAGATGGTACACAGAAAATTATACGAACAAAACACCCACTACTTGCAACAATGAGATGCTAAAAATATATTTAGTAAATAATTATTCCATTGAAAATATTTACTTTCCTTGAACCTGACTTATCCTATGTTAATTATGAGAAATATTTATAGTTCAAAATGCAATGTTTTCTAAACAACTAAAATAAACAAGCGGTATCTTATTAAGGATTATACAGGGTGAGTCTTAAGTAAGTGCAAATATTTTCAGGGCTGGTAAATCGCGACAAAAAAAACATATTTTTTCGTTACCGTTTTTCAAATAAGTCCAAAATAACCGAGTTATTTTACTTTGAAAATTTCAAAAAAAAATAATTTTTTGCTAAAATTTTGAGAACCACAGGCACAGGATCTTTTCTGTTTTTTCTTTCTTGTAAATTTATTCTACTACATATGTTGCTATATTATCATTTTTTATAAATTTATAGAATGTCTCAATAAAAATAAATGTTACGTTTTATTTAATAAAAGGTGTCAATTAAAGTTATGATAAGTTATGATAATGATACTCTAAGATGAAATGATTTATCTCTATGATGAAATCTTCCTGAGATACAATATTGTTAGTTATTGTGGACAAAAGGTGCACAAGAGGTGCACAATTTCCTGTTCAACATCTCAGAATGTACGAGAGATACGAATTTGGTGAAGTTCCTATTTTCATATTGCCGCCATTTTGAATTTTTATAACATTAGATGGAGTGAAAAAAATCTATACCGCCATACCTATTTTTGTTCCATTAATATCCAAAATCTCTAGAAAATTAAGGTTTTTCTTAATTATTCTTTCAGATCTAGAAATGTCAATGTTGTCATTGTGGCACCAGGCGATATAACTTCCGGCAACACCTGGATTTCGGACGAGATCATCCTCAGTCAGGCCAAAGATATGTGGAGGCAACTATGCCAGGAACAACGTTTGGAATATGGCGAAAAATATTTCGAGACGGCCATCAGAAGCTTGGAGAAATACTCAAAAATACCGGTAAGTGACGTTTTCATAAAATAGTCATTAAATTTTTGAATTTTGACTTACTGTACATAACCGATGTAGAATTGAATAAATTAAACAAACTCGGGTTAGTTACACTATTTATAACCCAATCACGGCTGCATTGGAGCAAATTTAATGATTTCTAATTATTTGGATTCGTTTCCGCTCAACCAGAATAACTATTAAAATATTAACATTGACGGAAAAATTTTTAGCTACATAAAATTAATTTTAAATAAACTAAGTTTGGAAATCTGCTATCCTCTGCAATTGACAGCTCACGTCACGTACGCTTATACGTTATTTGCAATATTAATTGACCTCCACTGTAAATCAGCGACATTATAGAAGAGAAATTCAACGGAAAATAATGGGAACAATAACTGCATTTAACTTGGAGGTGGTAGGTGCGCCAGGGTTGCATTTTATCTCCTTTACTCTACAATATTAAGTGGCGAATCTATAATGAGGGAAATTTTGGAAGATTACATCGATGGTATCACTACAGGCGGCATTATTTTTGACATGAGAAATTTGATTTTGATATCATTATGTATGACTTCTACTTGTAGAGGGCGCCCCATACATATTTTTTACCTAGTTTGAAGAGCAATAACTTTTCGTCCGCATCTGTATAAAACTACTGAGTAAAAAATTATACGTTTACGACGGTTTTTAAATAAAAAAGCTCTCTTAGTAAAAATCTCTACGAGTAATTAGTACAAGAGCTAGCAACGTCGGGAAAACAAGTATTTTAAGACGTCTGGCTCTTTGATATATCTTTTATTATGCTCTCTAGAACAGCGTGCACGCCGTCTGGCTGCTGATACACGTTGCGTTCACTACTGCGCATCCAAAGAAGATCTGATAATAAAGTAATAAATATTTGTGACACTAATATTAAATAAAAATATTTAATTCAATTATAATAATTAGATTGTAATGATTTAAATATAATGTCTAAAAATAAAACTAAAAATGTTGGCCGTAATTTTTTCGTGCCTCATTCATAAGAATATTTAATTCTTTTATAATTTAATTTTAAAGATATAAACATAATATATAAAAATTAACATTTAAATGCTTAATTAACGTAATTTCTGCCTCTCTTTCTTCAAAATATTTTTTTCGGCTGTTGTTTATTATTTTAACAATCATTTTAATAATACTTTTTTTAAAGATTGTTATCTAAAAGCTACACAAGTTTATTTTCAGTTCAGTTTGTTAAGATAACGATGGAAAACAAAATTATCTGGTTAAATTAAATAAAATAAAATAATAGTACTTTTTAAACAAGATTGATTAATGTTAATGTGTAGAAAATGCGCAAATCTATGGGTAGCAAAGTAATGTAAAAAAACGCATCATTGTATCTCCACTCATAAACGAGAAATCCCAAAAAACGCATGAAAATGAGACACCCTGTACACATGTGATGCGCAGTAGTGAACGCAACCTACCGGCGCGGCAGCCAGACCATCCTAAACCTATCTAATAATTAATTACCACAATAATCCTTCAAAACAAATGAAAGTATCAAATACTACTCATATACACTACGGGTCATAAACCCATAAACGCCATCCGTTCTGGTGATAAAAAAACAAATATTTAATACTTTACTATCAGAATAGAAACGAAAAAAAAAATAAAAAAGTTACACCCCCAGCCGGTATCGAACCACTGACCTTCGCTTCATAGGCGAAAGCTCTACGCGCCGAGCTACTGGAGACTTACTCGGTTTTTATTCAATATTAGAATTTAAAGCGCTAAGTAAAAAATATAGGATCTTCTTTGGATGCGCAGTAGTGAACGCAACGTGTATCGGCAGCCAGACGGCCTGCACGCTGTTCCAGAGAGCATAATAAAAGATATATCAAAGAGCCAGACGTCTTAAAATACTTTCTCGAAAACATTGCTAGCTCTTAGACTAAATGGTTCTCGAGATATTTGGAATCTTAATTATGAATACCTATCATCGTTATTGACGTAAATTAAACAAGTTGACTAAAAAATAGTTATTAGACTGAAATCATTAATTAGAAATGTTTATGTGCCAAAAGTTCAACAAAAACTGTTTTATCATTATTTTTTCGCAGAAAAAATTATGATTAATATAAAAAAAAATAAAAAACTCCCAAATTTATTATTTTAGTTCAATAACTACCCACGTTTTTATTTTTTTGTCAATAATAACATGTATTGACTATTTCCATTCTAAATATTTTAAGAACGGTTGCTCGTAGCGATTTTTACCAAGAGGCACTTTTTACGTGAAAAGTCACGGAAATTTATATTTTTTCGCTTAGTAGTTTTATACAGGTACGGACGAAAAGTTATTACTCTTCAAAGCAGTTACAGCACATGTACATATGTGGAGCGCCGCCCCCTACAAATGGGAGTTGCGTTGACAACAAAATCAAATTTCTCATGTCAAAAAACTCCCACACACCAATTTTTATCCAAATATTGACGTTACTTACTTAGAAATTATTTGGAAAAAATCGAAATAAAAATGAAACTTCTCTCTATTTCCGAAATTTATATACATCTATAGTAACTTTATTGCTTATTTTTTTCTGCAAAAGATGCTGCCGAAGTTTTCAGAATACAGTTCGGACCACCCTGTATTTTTATCTCCCTTTTTTGGAAATAGATATCTGATATCTGTCTGAATTTTTTTACGTCTTTTCTGAATTAAATAATATTTTTCAATATATTTTTATATACATATCTATATGACCTTCTGAAAAATATTCTATATAGAGGTTGCCTCGGCAGAAATTTTATTATCGATAATTTTTTAAAGGTTGCCATGACACTGTTTTTTTTCTTCAAGAAAATACAACGCGACGCGTGACGGCTTGATCTATAAATTGTTATGGATGGAGTCTCCCTTTTCTTCATACGAAACACAGACCACAGAAGTAAATGTCAAAAATAATTGTAAACCGCATGGGCTTCGGTTTCAATGATTTTTTTCCCACCATGCTGTCATATCTCATATTACCTATTCAGATAAAATATCTTTTGACAGGATTTATTATTCCATGCAAATTTTTTGGGTATAAAAGAACGCTGACATAATTTTAAATTTACGAAAATTTCTTAGATGTTATATATATATCAGAGCTACTTATTATGCAAAAATTATTTACATCTTCTATAGAGCGAATCTTTTAAAAATTCTCGGACATGTTATGATATATTTCAGTTAATTTAACATATAATACTCTCGATATAATAAAATTAAAATATATATTCATATACATTTTGATACATCGATTATTTAAAATAAACAGAGTATTATTTAAGATATTTTTTTAATAAAATAGTATTAAAATGGCCGAAAATATTTTTATAACATTAAATATAAAATTATTTAGTGTGTCATAAGTAAAAATGTAGAATATTTGATATTTTGTTATAAAAAAGAACGTGCCCATCATAGTTACCTCTATTATGATTTTTTTTACTACAAATCTTAACTATATCTTGTAAAATGAAGTATTTGTAAAACATTCAATTTACAAGTAACAAACTTCCATAGAAATGCGGTAACTCGGATGAGATGTTTTATTCATCTAAAAAGCTATCAAACTTTACTTGTTCATTATACCTGCTGTATCATTACTTATTCTGTTTGTCTGAAATAAAAGTTACCCTAAACTCGTAAATTTTTAATCACAAATGCTAAAGCCTGTATAATTTGAATAAATAATTCCTAGAGGGTGTCAACAAGAATATTTTGGCGTTGATGAAGACAAGAAGTGATATAAACTTAATTATAATATAACACCTATCCTTAAAATTATGAAAAATGGGAATTTAGTATTTTGATAATTTTTTGAGTAACTGACAATTCTGAACTCTTATTAAAAAACTTACAAAAGACAACTATTAGATTCACTTAAGAGAATTAATCATTCTCCAAATGCTTCATAAAGCACTCATATAATAAATAACTATTATTATTTAAAAACTTTATCAACATTAATAACTTAACTATTAAATTGTCACTGTCTAGTAAAATTTTGTGATCGACAAACCTAACAACAAAACTACTAATTGAAATCCAATTTCAATTTCACGGTTTACTAAATTCGATTTATTCATGACCGTATACCAATATTAAATGTAACATTGCCATGATTTAGTATTTTTACAAAAAAACTCAGGGTATAAATATTTCTACCACAACACACAAATCTTTATTTTTGAACAATCTAAAGCTTTTATAGAAAGCACACTGAATGTGAATGTGATATTTTAAACTAAAAGCCCACATCGCTTATTTGAATCGCACTTTTATGTGTTTAATATTAATATTATCGCCAGGGGCGTATCTAAAGCTTTCAGATATTTTTTGTAAACTATCAAAAACACTTTTAAAGTTGTTTTAATCAGCCGCAGTAGCAAAAAATGGTAATAGTAAAGAAGAAAACTATTTATAATAATTAAATCTAACTATTTCGAGAACACGTAAGCAACTTGGTAACTAAAGCAACTCTAGCTACCTTTGACGCTGCTAACCCGTGAACTAATATACACTTTTTTTAATAATATATTTATTCTAATAAATAATTGTTATAACAAAAGTTAATAACAACCAAACCAATACAAATTTATATAATAGTGTCTCGCTTCGTATTTGTAATATAACTGCCTTTGCCGTTGCTGCATATCGTTGTCTACCTCCTCTTAAGCAATAGATCAATTATCGAATTGACAAATTCAATTAATGTACAGTGTGGGCCAAATTCGACGCTTTTAAATGGAAACACCCTTTTTTATAGGAGATAGACGAAAACTAATATCGGTGTCTGGAGCTCAATTTTCATCAAAAACATGATGGTGAAAACCGCACATCAATATCAGTTACCGTTTCGGAGTTAAGGGGTGTTTTTCAAAAATGTGCATTTTTAACAAATCGCTGTAACTTTTTTGCTATGGAAAATTTTGTATTTCTATGAAAACATTTCCAAATCACC